ATATATATATATATGGCTTTGTTAGTGTTTGATACGCATGCAGAATATATTACATATATTATAAAATTGCTAGAGAATTTCTATAGTTATACATTTCATTTAAGAAATATTGCAACTAATGTAGACCAAGAAAACACATAAGGATTTATATGGGAAAACAGTCTTAAACTATAAATTGGCATCTTAATCAAATTTATTTTTTTGTAATTGACTATAGTTTTTATTCTGAATTTTTTCTTAAGAGTCAAAAACTACTTTGGGACACTATGAGAACCATATAGAAAGTCATCATCATGAGATATCAGACAATCCCAATGTGTTTTCTCTCATTCTTAACTATTTTATTTCTATTATATGATAACCAATGTGTTCTATTTTTCCTACCAGTCTATACTGAAAAAAGTATAATCTAAAAATAAAAAGATAACCTTGTAAAATATGCATTTTATAAAATCATGATATATACTTAAGGCATTTTTAAAAAAGAATATTTTCATCCTAAGTTTAGTAACATTCTCTTCTGACTTTTCTTTCTCTTGTGACTTCTGTCTCTCTTTGGGTAATGGTAATTCAGAATTGAATGACAGAAAATATATTTTATGTCATAAATACTGAACATATCATATTCATAAAAATTCCACAACTTACTACTCAGAGAGTCCTTACAAATTTATACACTACTTTTGGATGCTGTCTTATTAGCTTTAAATGATGCTTAAGGTCACTCTTCAAGTCACCTGGTTTCTAAACTTCTAGCCTTGTTTGTTCTAAGGTATTATTGATAAATTCCTAACATAGTCCAAAAAGCAAAATAAGAAATTACCGTATACTCAAGACTTGAAATTAACTAAATGTTAATGACATTAACTAATAACTTTATAAGTTGTTCAGTATTTGGAGCTTTCCTTGAAAAACAAGTAGTATTATACATGTAAATGTTACATTCTCTTTAACAACTACATAATAAATTGTGTAATAATTGAATTCAATAATGAGAATAATGTATTCTAATATGAAAAATCATGATAAGGTGTCAACTGTGATTTATTTCTTGATAAAAGCTTTTGGTCCTAAAAATAAAGCCAATATTGTTTATCATCAGATTGCTATCTGATAAGCTGTGTATAAAAAGGTAAGAATGTCAATCAAGAATAAATAAATACTGGTACACATATTCTAATTCTGCAGTGATATATCAAGGCGTAAATACCCCTGGACAGCCAGTCACCCTGGAGGGGCAGCAACAGGTTTAAAAAGTTCATATCCCACTGGATATTTCCATTTTCCGTTCCATTCCTCTTACATGAAAACGCACTTTGCATGTAAAGCTTGACGTTCTTGTTTGCTTTTAATTGTATTTCTTAGAAGCTCATGGCATATGGTGTTTATGCCATGAATAAGGAAGGCTAAATTATTCAAGGATATTAATTAATATAAAACCAATATATTTCAGCAGAAAACTGAGCACACGTACCACATGTCCCTATAAATCAGCCCAGAAAGCTATATTTGAGGATCCTTTCATTCTATATGACTATCAAAAAACTTTGGAATCAGGGACATTTATTTAATATTTTCATTTTTCAAATGTAGCAAAGATACGTTGGTTTCAAGATAGTTTACAGCATAGGAAATTAAGGTTCGTGATGAAATTTAGAAACTGAGGGCTTTAAACTTACTAAATTGTAAAAAAAAAAAATAATGGGGGGGCCATGTTCTGTGTATTTTTGATGGGGGAAGATACAAAGATAGATCCAGTATTTGAAAATGTTTGTATGTAAGATTTTCCCATTACAAATTCACCAGTAGAATATCTAACCTATTTATCTGTTGGGAATTTTGGATATCTTCATGAAATCCAAGTTATTCCATATGGTTATAAACTTATAAAGAAGGGAAAGTTTAGGCCCTCTACAAAATGTATTAGGTGAAAGGTGAGTCCTATCATATGTGTATGACTCACTATCATTTAGAAGAGCTAATTAAGAGTTCTTTGAGACTGGGTAAACAATCTGAATTAAACGCGAATGCAAATCTGTACCTGGGTTTACAGTATTTATGGATTTACAAAGGTAATGCCAGCATTAGAGAGGGGGAAAATATTAGAGTTCTTCCTTTAAATTTTTGTAGCTTATACACATAGCCATTCTTCAGTAGCCCGAAGTTAAGATTTATATTTATTTAGATCTGCTACATAGTATAATCAGTTCTGAGTAGATTATTATAGAATATGCTAGTCTAATATTTGTACTTGATAATTTTGCCTTTTGGAATTTCAACATATATATATGAACACTAACATTCTCTTTATATTGGTTATGTTTTTCGTTTGTTGAAAAACACAATATATATATGTTGTAGGGGTTTTTTTTAAGCTAATGGTTTGGAAGCTTTTACCATAAATATTCACTATACCATCAGATTAGCTTTGTTACCTATTCTGACAAAGTGATTGTGCATATTAATAATTTTTATGCATTAATGATCCTTTTGAAGTGACTGGACCCTTCACTCTATTTTTCCTACGTCTTTCACCTGACTAAGGATTAATGAAATCGCCTCATCATAATCATGACCGTAATTTCACCTCCAACAAATACTCAAATTTGGTGTCAGCACTTTATTAATGCTTACAACTTCTCTCTCTCTTTCTCTCTCTTCCTTAGTTGTAGCACAGTAAGGATTGTTGAATGTATATTGTCACGTAAGGTAAGCTTTCATATGGTTTTGGCATATGAAGCTTATGAATGTCATAAGCCATATCAAGCCTGTGGAGTATGGCATGATCTTCATTACATAATCCCATGAAAACAGTATCTGCTAACTTAGTAGTTTTAATTTGTATTTCTGTATCTTAAAATTAATAGCTAATACTTACTCATCACAGCAATTTCCTGTTGATACTGAGCAATTTGTTGGGTGTAGTAGAGCATGAATCAAGGCATTTAATGTAGATGAAAATGAATGATACCCACGCATTCTGAATTCTTTGCATCAAGGAATGGACATGTATAGAAGTGGCATCATTTCTACCAATAAGTGACTTGGTTGGTTTTTTCTTTTTAAAGGAGAATGACTTTTCAAATTTGCATTAAAGAAGTTTTAAGAATGTTCAAATAGCATGCTGGTTTTGTCTGGTCATGAACTTATTAGCAAGTATTGAAGCATTTCACTAAAGGACAGTGCAGTCTTGTGGTTTCATGGATTTTCTCTTGAATGATGCTTTTGTTCTTTGACTATAACTCAGAAACTCAGAAGGTAGGTATGAAATACTAGCTGATATTTCTCTCACTTTCAGAAGGTATTAGCTCCAATTTTTGCACAGTTCATAAATGGCCAAAATTAAAACAAATCATTTTTTTCTCCGATGTGCTTGAACACAGTTTTCTGTGTTTAATTAAAAAGAACATTAACAAGCTGGAAAAAAAAATCTTCCTGCTCAGCTGTGACATGGCATGCATTTTATCTTATTATTCAGTCAGAACCTTTAAATCATCTATAGATGAATCAAAAACCTCTCAATGAGCCATAAACACTTTCAACAATTTAGGAATTTAAAATAAGACTGAAAACTAGAAGGGACAATAAGCTACTATGGGTCTGCCAGGAACTTGCTTTTCCATCTAGAGGCCAAGTATTTTAAATCCTAAATACACTAAAACCAGGAGAATATTTTCAAGTGGGGACTAAACGAGTCTTTGTAGCTAATGAGAACAGAAACAGTCACATTTGCAGGCAGCTAGTTCAGGAATGTTGTTTCAGTGATTTTGATACTGAGCTTCTAACTTTTCCTTTCCCATTTTGTCCTCTCTAGGTGGGCTGTCCTTCTGCAGGCTCCTCTTACAAGGTGTGCCTCCAAACATAATTGATTCTTATTTGCGAGATTTGCAGTCAAGCAATCCTGAGGAATACTGAAGGCTGGGCTGCCCCTGTAAACTTCGCTGCTTCTGAAATCTGGTTGAGAAGAGAAAGCATTTTCTGGTTTTCCACCAGGCCCCCAAGTGTGGTCATTTCCTTTCCTTCTAACATTGGAGAAAGAAGAAAAAATGTTTGCAAGATTGCTTCATTAAAGATTACGAACAAAACTTCGTTTGCAGTCACGCTTCATTTTCTCCTTGCTGGATTCACTGTACTTAACAGAAAACCCAACTGTTGAATAAGGAAAAGCCATTATTTTAATTTATAACAGTAGCTTTAAATGCTTTTCTTCCCCAGAGTAAAAAACATATTTTTTAAAATTTTTTCATTATTTTGATTTTGTTTATGTGTATGTGTGTATTGCCTGCATGCATGTAAGTACACCCGTGTCGTGCAGTGCCCATGGAGGTCAGAGGACAGCATCGGATTCCCTGGAACTGGAGTTACATACAGGCAGGTGTTAGCTGCCATGTGGGCGCTGGGAATTGAACCCCGGTCCTCTGCAAGAGCAGTCCGTGCTTTTAACCACTGAGCCATCTCTCCAGCCCCATAATATAATATTACTACAGAGTTCAAGATCACCGGGAAAAGACCACTTAGACTCAAAAAGTTCCGAATCGGGAATTCATTTAGCTGGACATTGTCTGCATTCTCTGAGCCAATTTGGAGAATGCAGTACTTACCAGAGGAAAGTAAAGCTTTAAAGGTAAAGTCTATATCCTGACCAGTTGGTACAAGATTTACTCAAAGACAAGCAGTCTCATGTTTGTTCCTATAGGTGGGCAAGCAAGCAGTTCCAGAAGCCAGATAAGCCTCAACTGAAGCATCCCAGGATTATAAGGGTGTGTTCCTTAGTTCTTCCTAGAACTTCTGGTCCCAGCCACGGTAGCATCTGAGCTCACCAAGATGTCTTACACAAAATGGAGGCGCTCAGGCTATTACAATATACCATGACAGGATCCTGAAAAACCCATCTTTCTTAATCTAACAGAGTTTCCTTTTCACTATATACTCCAGGCTGGCCTCAAATTCAGTGACCCTCTTGCCACAGCCTCCAGAGTACTGGGATTATAGGTGTGAATCACTAAACCTGGCTCTAATAGATATTCCTAAATAAATCAGACTTGTTTAGCTCACACAAGTCTGCTTAACACAAGGGTCTTTGCCCCCTTTTCCCATATGAATATAGTAAAAATGTCTTGTTACCTTTTAGGCAATTATTTTTTCAGTAAAAAAGGAAAATGTATTTAATAAATGGCATAACCAATCTGAAGCATATATGCTGAAATGACACAGTATTTGCTTATATGTTTGGAGTTGCATTCTTAGACAGAGCTGAGACGAAAGGCTCGGAATCAGGATGCTACCAAACTCAGGTCTGACTCCCATCATGCCACTGGGAGACATGCAAGCCCAGTCTACCAGATCTGTCAAAACAGCCAGTCCTAGTAATGGAGGTCTATTGTACTCTACAGAGCAGTCACAGATTTAGTGTTCAATGACAATACCTATTTTTTAAAAAAAAAAACAGGGCTGGAGAAATGACTCAGCAGTTAAGAGCACTGGCTGCTCTTGCAGAGGACCCAGGTTTGATTCCTAGTACTCACATAGTGGCTAACAACTGTTTGTTAACCCAGTTCCAGGGGATCTGATGCTCTCTTCTGACCTCCTCGGGCATTGCACAACATGGCACACCTACTTACATGTGTGCAATACACTCATACACATAAAATAAAAGTAATAAAATATTTTTTAAAATCTAGCAACTGAGAAATGTTTATACTATTCTTTCATCTTTTTCTCAACTTTCTTCACTCTTTCTGAATTTCCATTAAAGGAGCAGAAGCTTAAGGCACCAGACATCCCACTGTTGCTCGTTCTCTTAGCTCCTAACACACCCAGTTTTTGTTTTGTTTTTTTCTCCAGGGTTGAGTGTATTGTTACATGCAGGTGCTGCTACAGCATCTTGGAATGACATCTTAAACTATTTCCTCTGCTTCCTTTCCAAATTGTAGCTAGAAAGTTGTGATGGTGGTCATGTGGGTTGATGATGGGCTAATTAATAGAAAGATGGATGATCTAGGAGGTTGCAATACATTGGGAACTTCGAGAGAAAACTAATTTACGTTCAAACTACAATGGCTCCCTCTTTTTCTGTTCTGATTGCTTGGTATCTTGCCTTCCTGGTTGTTAATAATACAGGCATCTATCTCTGCTCTTATACTCACAGCTACTTGAAAGTAACAGTCTACTTCAGTCCCCTAGAACCACAGTGATTGGCTCCAGGTCTCCTGGAGGGTGCCCAAATCCGCAAATGCTGAAATCTTTTGTATTCAGCTTCACAGTATTTACATATAAGCCTCATACTTCCTCCCATATGCTTCACGTCATCTCCAGATCACTACACTACCTAATACGATAAAAAGGCCATGTAAGTAGTTGTTACAGGAGTTATGACAATGGAAAAGATATTTGTTTCCCAATGTTCAGGACAAATGCAGTTTTCCTTTTAATTTTTTTTGGGGGGGGGCTTTTTGAGACAGGGTCTCCCTGTAGCCCCAGATGGCCTGGAACTCACTATGTAGACCAGGCTGGCTTTGAACTCACAGAGATCTGCCTGCTTTTGCCTCCCGAGTGCTGGGATGAAAAGTGTGCAACACCACACCCGGCCTTTCTTTTAATATTTTAAATATGCTATCAATTGAATCTTTTTTGAAATTGATTTATTGATAATTTCATAAATGCATATGTTGTATTTTGATAATAGGCACCCACCCCACCATTTTCCTCTCTTGGCTCACTCCAATTCTGGCTGAACCCTGAACTTTTTTCTCTTCCTAACTACTCTTCCTCTTACTTTAATGCCTTTTTTTTTTTGACCTGATGAATTTAGATTTACTTGCATGACCACCAATGGGGTGATTTACTGGAGTATGCTAACTTACCCACATGGCTATACCACTGAGAAAATTGTCTCCCCTCGCCCCAGCCACCATTAACTACAGATAGCCTCAGCTAAGGGTGGGGCTTCATGAGTGCCTCCCACATCTATGACAGAATGTTCATGGGTCCAATCTTCTGAAAGTCTTAAGTAATCACAGCTACTGTGATTTCATGAGTGCAACAGTTATGTCATGTCAAGGCAATATCCTTGCACGAATGCTCATCCTTTTCTTCCAACTACTATGTTCTTTGTTTGTTTGTTTATTTATTTCTATTGAATTTTTGTGTATTCCATGCAAAACATCTTAATCATCTTTATACCCCCCCATCTACACCCCCCACAGCCTTCCCACCAGATTTCATGCATACTGTCATTTATATAGAGGCCTATCAAATCAAGTTGATATACCCAGATGTCCCTCAGTGCAAACTCATCCACTGGGGTCTAGTCAGCCTATCTAGAGTCACTCCCTTAAAGGAGATCAGCTCTCCCTCACCCAGCAGTAATCAGCTGCCAACAGTTCTTCAGTTAGGATTGGGGTCTGCTGCCCATTTCCCCAGTTCTATGCTGGGTTTCTATCTGCTTGAGTTTGGTTCTTGTGCATGCTGACACCATTGCTGTATTCATATGAGCAAGCTCTTAGGAACCATGTGGTCATACACCTCCTCTCCTGGCTCTTACAGTCCTTCTGCCTCCTCTTTTGCAATGGTCCCTGAGCCCTGGGTAGGTGTAATTTAATATAGAAGTCCTGTCCAAGGATTCACATTCTGCAGACTGTTATTCTCTATAGTGTGGCCATTTGTGGCCTGCTGTGTTCATTACCCTCTGTTGAGGGAGCTTCGTTGATGAGAGTTGAGAGATACATTAGTGCTCTCTCTACCCCTTGTTCCACTATGCTCCATGAGTCTTAAGTGTAGAGGTTCCATTGTAGATGTGTCACTTAGGGTTGGGCATTTCACAGATGCTTGTTCTCTGTGTGTGACCAGTTGCGGAACTCTGTAATAGTCTCTGTCAGATGCCAAATCAGCTTCTTTGATGAGCAGTGACTGGCATGCTTGTCTATAAACATAAGAATCCATATTTAACATATTTTAAGAAATTACATTTATCTAGAGATATGACCGCCTTAAGATTTTCTCTAAGATCTATAACCTCTCCTGCCATGTGTTCAATGAACTTTTTTGATGCAGAATCCAGAGACATGAAGGGCTGATTGTCATAATGTGACTCCTTATATAAACATCTATGCTAAACAAGAAAGTTATTTGAACATTATTGACTAAGATACTTTGCATACATGGAGTCTGGCTCATCTAAAAAACACGAAGACCAGATCTCCATGAAGGCACCAAGTTAATGACAATGCAGCAAAACCAAACAGCATTCCCAAACAGCAGGCTGTCTGTAGTGCAGGGGCTGAGCTGACTGTCCAGTGCTAAATACACACTGATCAGTTCTACTGAGTCATGGTCAGCTCAATTAGGCCATTCATAAATATAGTCGAAAAGTAACTGTGAAGCATCCTCCCAAAGTATCATCCCCATTCAGAACTTAAAGTCCTTAATTGTATTCTGTGCTTAATAATGTTACTTTTCTGTATATGATCTTTCCTCATACTAACAGTACCCAGACACTACAAATTTCCAAGGACGAAATAGATTATTTTGAGGCTCTGAAGAGCAAAAATAGCAGAAGCTGCCACTGAACTAGTTTTATTACCAATTTTGTTGTAATTCTATTTAAATTTCACTCCTTTAAAAACTTGCATACCACCAGGCATATGGCATGGTGGTGCACACCTTTAATCCCAGCACTTGGGAGGCAGAGACAGGCAAATTTCTGTGACTTCAAAGCCAGCCTAGTCTACATAGTGAGTTCCAGGCCAGCTGGGGCTACAGGGAGACCCTCTCTCAAAAACAAAACCACAACAAAAAACCCTTGCATATCGCCTGGGTCTGGTGATCTTTAATCCCAGCACTCAGGAGGCAGAAGCAGGTGGACCTCTGTGAGTTTGAGGCCAGCCTAGTCTACATAATGAGTTCCAAGTCAGTGGAGGCTACATAGTGATACCTGTCTCAGGGAAAAAAAAGAAAAGGGCATAACACAGGAATTTACCAAATTTGGGAGGGAAACTAAGCATTCATTTAAATATTTAAAGATCACATTTATTTACATTAAAAGAAAACTTGATGCATATTCTTATTAAATTAATAT